ACTAGCCATCCCCATGCCTGAGGTATTCCTACCCCACCCCAGGCCCGGTGGCAGAACCAGGTCTTCAAAGCCTTACGGAAGGCCAGGAGTGTGGGGGCTAATCGCACCTCCGGGGGCAGGATGTTCCATATAGATGCAGTTCTTAATCTCCTCCCAAACCAGGGGACAAGCATCCTCTGTGCTCAGTCAGAAGAAAGGATGGACAGAAACATTGACAGAAATCTCTGTGCCTTTTAGCAGGAGTGGAGGTTGCCTCCCAGTATTGCAGGGTGACCTTTGTGTCTTTAGGAATGATCTTCCTGCTCGTATATTGGTAGAGAGATGCAGTCTGTGAGTTTATGTTTCCTCTTCCCCTGTTCTCTGCTTTGCCATGAGAAAAAGTAAATGATTGAAAGGTCCTCCATTGTCCAGATTTCCCCAGAGTCTGTGAATGTAATGGAGTCTGTAATTCTTGGTGGGGAGTTATGATAAGTGGCCATCCTGACATGGAAAACTGTGGTCTGGGCACTTTAGGCGCTGATCTTATAGAGAGAGGTGTGCCTTGGGGGACCCTGCTGTAGATTGTTTACTGGGATCTCAGTTTGTGACTTTCTGGGGTGAAAGTTGTGCCCAGATGACAACGCAGACTTTGATGAACTGAGCAAAATTTCTGCATTTCCCTAATTGCACAGATGATTGCTGTACTGGTGGATAAGATGATTCGCACACAGATTGTGGACTGTGCTGCAGTGGCAAACTGGATTTTCTCTCCAGAGCTAGCTCATGATTTTACAAGGTAAATAAATATAAACTATCACATAACCTTTTAAAAAAAATCTTCAGGTTATGTTTTGAATATCTCTAGTGAAAGTTTGAATGATATTGATAAGGGGGAACTTGCTTAAATAAAAAATATTTGCTGAAAGGAAGCAGTCTTATTGAAATGTGTGTGCTTCTTTTATAGTCCTAGAGAATTCGGATTCTGCAATTCCCCGTCAGAGGGAGGAGTAGGAGGTGCAAGTTGTGTAATTGTCCTTGTGTTTTGGGCCACTTCATTCATTATGCTGAGAAAAACCCACATTTACAAGTGTGCATCAGCCTTATTACTGACAAAAATCAGAGTGTTTCTCTGAACACCAAGGTGTTCTTTGCTTCTTTTATTGCTAGATTTTATATTTGGGAGATCTTACACTCTACCATTCGTAAGATGAACAAGCACGTGATGATGATCCAGAAGGAGCTAGAAGAAGCCAAGGAAAGATTAGCCAAGCAACACAAAAGAGTAGGTAACCTTTTTCCATGCCTATACAAAGAAATATGGCTTGAGACATATTTCATCAGCTGCAAGAACATAAGGTTTCCTTTGCTAAGCTAGTCAGAGATGGGCAGGAGGACAGAAAGTTCATATTGCAGATACAAACTTTCAGCAACCAAGGGGATCTCATTAACTTCTGCCTCCATCTCCTGTTAAAAAGAGCCTTTTACCCTGGGTTTGCTTTCTGCACATTTGTGCTTACTATTTACATTTCAACTCTTTCCCTCCAGCGTGATGATGCCCGAAGCAATGAGAGGGAGAATTGGCCCCTCGAAGAGCAGATCGAACGCTTGCAAGAAAAGGTTGAATCAGCTCAAAGCGAACAAAAAAACCTCTTCCTTGTAATTTTCCAGGTAAAAGCAGACATATCCGTGGACCAGTGAAAAAGGCAACATTAGAATGTTAGCATGACTGATTGCAAAATTCTGGAACAAGTGTTTCAGCTTCATAAGTTTCTAAATTAAAATTCTATACATTTGAGAGCAAGTTCTTGGAAATAGCCACTGGTTCCATGTTTGCTAACACTGCTGTTATGCCCTAGTTAATTCAGAGAGGCCGTTCTGCACATTCCTTTTAAGCCCTACTCAAAAGAAACATTGTCTTGTCTGTATATCCAAAGCCAACCATTTCACTTTCTTTATTCCTCCCAGCGTTTCATTATGATCCTAACAGAGCAT